TATAGGGAAAGGGGATAGAGAGTCCCCCCCCCACTCTATAGGTATTGTCGCGTCCATTGAATGCGACAGAAAAAGCTCATAATTTTACTGCTTATAATTTTAGCTTAACTAAATTACGCCGAAGAAGAAAAAAATTAGCTTTAACTTAAACTAAACCCAGTGGCGCGACAGCCCCTAGAGGGCCAAGGCCTACTGTGCCCATCTCAGTTTTCTTGACCTTGGGCTCTGGGGTGCAGGAGCACATGTTCCGGTCAGGTGGTCAGCCGAACGCGGAACTCCCAGTGCTTAGTTCCCAAGCATGCTTGGTACTCATTTATCTACCCACTTAAGAGATGAAAGGCTGAGTCAACCTTGCCCGGTTTGAGGATCGAACCCAGGACCTGTGGCACAGAAGCGCGAAGCACAACCACTCAGCCACCGGGCGTCTAGCTTTATTTTAAGATAACTTTAAAACTGCTCTATTTATGTCCAATCATGTTAGAGGCTATGTACCCTTTTCGCTCGCACTCACTTGTTTTTTCCTACATTTTAAAAACATGAACGTAATTATAAATGGCTGCGGAATTTGACAGAGTATTTATAGTTTGTCTGCTAAGAGCTCCCCCCGCCACATGGTCTGAGGCCGTCTGCTGCTATGAATACTAGAATAGCGCATTTCAGGGAAGGTAGTTAGCCGACCGGCCTGTGTAGGGGTTAGGGAACTGCCCTTGCTCCAGAAAGGTTCTGGGTTCAACTCCCGGGCAAGGCAAGGATGTTCTTTTCTTGTCTGTACTATCTGTCCTTACTGTGGGAGCAACTATACTGACCTGCAACTATACTGGGAGCAACTATACTGACCTCTTTTAAGGGCACCTAATATGGTGCCCTTAAAAGAGAGGCCAACAAATCTGCCCTGTTAATGTCCGAATTCACGAAAATTTTTAACACAGGTGTGCATTGGGGGGGGGGAGGGAAGGTAGCTTCTCTTCTCTCTGGGGCTAACACAGGAGACCGAAGAGAAAGGTCCTCTTACTCTCGCCGACCCTCAGCCAAAATCTGTCCTAAACAATGACCCCATACCCCACAATTTGAAATAGTTAGACCTCGTTACCATAGTCACCGCCAAGGGACTTGACGAATGGCTAGGGGAGTTTTTACTTTAGACAAACTATGCGTTAACTAGTTCATTAAACATTTTTTTAGAAAAAATTGTACGTTGAGACTTAAAGGTTCGCCACCCCTGGACTAAACCATCTGACAGAGAGCGATGAAATTTGGCATACTAATAGTTCGTAGCACGAAGGTTACTATCGACATTAAAACATTCTATAACAAACCGTTCGAGCGACAAACGGATTGGAATTTTCTTGCGTCATCTCTACTTAATTGCATATCGGATAATCGAATAACCCGCTTACACGAATGGAACCAAGTCATTTTGTATGAAACTAATGCTGAACTTCTCCGTTTAAATTGACATTCTTTGTCTTTTGTCCCCGCCTAATTGCATGAAGAAGAGGTACTGAAATGAAAAAAATTTGTTTATTTTGGAGAAATGCTTCACTAACTAAAATGAAATTTTCGTTTTTCAGTTAAGATAAGGATACAATAGGTGGTCACTTCAAAAGGGTCCTGTTCATTAGTTGGTCTAAACAGGTGTTAGGGGTAAAATTGAAAAAAAATCAAATCTTGCTGCTAGTTCTACATTGAAGTGAGCGACGAGTGTTTTACCCCTCCTTGACTTATAGTTTGTCTACGGTAAGAACTCCCCCCGCCACTAAATCTGATGCCGTCTGCTGCTAAGGAAACAAGAATAGCGCATTTCAGGGAGGGTAGCTTCTCTTTACTTTAGGGCAATACGAAGAAAAAGATTCCCTTTCTCTCTCCCACCCGAGACAAAATAAAGCCTAAAAGTGACCTACACCCCTATTTGAAATAGTTATACCTTGTTACCATAGTCACCGCCACGGGTTCAGACGAATAGTAGAGTTTCTACTTTAGACAAATTGTACTTACTTACACATCATTTAGAATTTAAAAAAGGCACAGAGTGATTTGTTTTGTAGACAAGACTTGTGGCCCCCTCCTGGTGCACTATTAGCTTTGATAAGAAAAAGTTTCAAAAACGTAACACATCAGTATACAGTGTGTCTTTCTCTTAAGTACGAATAATTATTGCTTAATCCAGTGAATAACTCTGAGTTGGTTGCAAGTTCAGCGAGAAAAGGATGGATTTGAATTAATCGGGGGGAAAAAGCAATGAATCTAGGAAACGATATATTTAAAAAAATTCCAAATTCATTAGTTTGGAAATTCTCAAGACGAGGTAAGAAAAAATATAATTTAAAAATAAATAATTTGAATGTATTTGAAAGGAATACACAATTATTCATGAAAGTCTTAATAGAAACTGAAAGGGAAAATTTAATTTTGATAAATTGACGAATTAAACGGGTATAAAAATAGTCTTCAATTATAGATTTTTTCGGAAGGGATCAAATAATATTTTAGTACCCATATATTATACTATTCACTAATATTGATTTATTTTTATATAACTTTATATGACATTTATATTTCATGATACTAACACAGACACTATTAATCAAAATTGTTTATTGATCATAAAACTAAGTTTATTTAATCAAAACACTATACTTTGCATTAAATACCATTAAAAAGAAGAATTACTGCGAAATTTAGGATAGAATATTGCACTCCCCTTTTAATCGAATAACCCGCTTAATTGCATAGATTTGGCTGGAACTGATGGTATTCCTTTAAGGTATTTTGATGGTATTTTGACTGGTTAAGCCTTAGCCATTGTTTCCTCCAAAATCTTAAAGATAACGTCATTGATACTTTATAGCTCGATTTAATAATAAAAAAGAGTTATTGCGAGTACTTTATTTATTTATATATTTTTTTTTCTTTCGCTATGTCATAATTTCAATAAACAACAGTTCCGCAATTGACTGGTCCCGCAGTGGACTGATCGTTAAGACACGGTTCCCAGCAGATCACCGAAGTCAAGCATCACTGGCTACGGTCAGTGTGCGGGTGGGTGACCACTTGGATCAGTCTGCGTAGGGACCGAGGGTGTGCGGTATTGGTCCTCGTTAAACTGTGCTACCGTAAAGTGCTCGACTTCGCGCGCAGGTCGTCGGGCTACCGAAGCGGGGGTGCCATCCCCTCCGCAGAGGATCAAAATTGTGATGGCATGTCTTCGGATCATCCACCGGGATGTTTCCCAGACCGTCGCCAATAGCCCATTGTGCAGCTCTAGTGTGACGTAAATTAACAACAAACAACAATTGACTGATTGTTGACACGGTTCCCAGCAGATCACCGAAGGGAAGATTGCTTCTAGTGAAAATAAACCTTAAGAATATCCCAAAATATAAAACTGAATTAGAAATAAGCGTAAAGACAACTAAACTCCAAACTCAATGTAAATATTTTTTATTTGATGCTTTAACTAGAAATTCTGATTGACAACAAAATAGTTTTGTTTTTTAATAAAGTCTATAAAAAAGTTTATAAATATTGAAATGAAAAAGAGAAGTTATAACGTTCCATTATATAATTTAGATTCTGATTACTTTCATACATTTATGAAAGTAATTGCTTTTTCAAAGTGTGTTGGAGTGAATTAGTTAAAGATTAAACATTACTGCATATTATGCAATGAAAAGCTTTAAGACAATATCAGAATGTCTTTTTTTCGCCGAAAAAAGAATAGAGCAGGTCAGTATAGTTGAACACCGAGGAAAAGAAAGTTCTTTTTCTGAACGTTTTCAACTGATTTATCAAAAACACTGCCCCTTTTATGGTCACGATTTTTTAATCTGTCAATGTTTTACATTAAAAATGAATACTAAGTTGCATATTTTAAACGATATTTTTTTATTCTTCTTTGTGAGCTCATTGTAATACTATTTAATTTATTATTTAAATATCTTAAGAGAATAGCTGGCGAGAAAAGTATGAAGTTTCGTAATTTTGTTTTAAAAAAAACTTCGATGATCTATCGAAGCAGTAATTTTATTTTACTTGTAATGCCTGAAAAACATTAACGTTTAAAATTAATGAATTCTTTTCTGAAAAATTCAAATTTTTTGTGTAATTTTTAGGTGCGTAGGTAAGGTAAGATTTTCTGTATGTCTTTTTCCGCCAGTTATCTTTAGAATTATAATAAGTTTTCTTCCAGATTAACAAAAGATAAAAAGCAACATTTCGGACAAATTTTATTATTTAAAATGAATAAAACTAGTTAAATGTAATTTTTGTTAATGAAATGAATATTTGTAGAAAAAATTAATTTTAAGTATAATTCTTTAAAGTATTATTTTTTGAAATATGTGTTAGCTTTTGTTTTAAATTTTGTTATTCTTTACATTAGACTTTTGTAAATCAAATTTTTAAAAAAGAATATTGGGATNCAAATTTTATTATTTAAAATGAATAAAACGTTAAATGTAATTTTTGTTAATGAAATGAATATTTGTAGAAAAAATTAATTTTAAGTAAATTTTTTAAGTATTATTTTTTGAAATATGTGTTAGCTTTTGTTTTAAATTTTGTTCTTCTTTACATCAGACTTCTGTAAATCAAATTTTTAAAAAAGAATATTGGGATGATGTTCCTACTTCCAAAAAAAAAAAATAATAATAATAATCATTTTTAGGTGTATATAATAGTATAACTCTTTTTGTGATGGTCCAAACTGTTCTAATTCTACAAACCCCATGTTCTTAGTGGACCAACATATCACATGTTCTTAGTGGACCAATGTATCCCATATTTTGTTTTTCACAATAGATCTCAATAATTTCTCTACTTATGTGTATAAATATCAGCAAGAGTAATAATTAAATTAAAGATCCAATCTTTTTAAATAATTGCAATTTATTGTTCTATTCTTATAAAAGCAAATTTTTGAAACCAAAGTAGTAAAGTTCAAAAAATTTATTAATACTGAAATAAATGTTTTTGATCTGAGCCATGTGATTCTTTAATCGGATTTGTGCAAAATGTTAATGAAAAAAATATACAAAAATATATAATTGCTAAGCCCCATCCAACATACCTAATCTCCCCTATAGTATGAAGCTGTTCTAACAGTGTTCAATTAGATTTTAACTTCACATAATAAATTAGAGATTACTCCATAATTTTTACTTAATTTATTTGATTTTTATCCTAAGTCTTTTTATCACTTTCATTTTTCTTTTCCGATCTTTATCATTCAAAATATTAGTAAATCTGTGAACTTTTTTATCTTCTTTTAATGCTTATAATTAAGAAAAATATTCTGGACAAAAACAAAAAAATAGACTTAGGTTATGCTTTCTAGAATTAATATTTTACGCCTTGGACAAATAATTGATCATATTTCAACGTTGTATTCTTTTCACATTATATCATATTCTCTCTAGTCATTTATGGATATTTCGATATCTTTTTCTCGTATTAATAATCATAGATTTTCAGAATCTAAGAGTTGAAGTTTTCTTTATTTTTACCTGAAAACAGCAGCCATATTAGAATTTGCCCTACAATTAAGAGTATTTAAAATAATTATTGAATATCAATGTATTTAAGAAAATCTTAAGTAAGTCATTCTGTAGTTAATCAGTCGAATCAATTATATTGTATTTGATAAGCTTATTTGTAATGAAATTTTATTAATAATCTTTGATAATTTTGCAGATTCTGTCTTACCCAGAACTAGTTCCATATCTGTATATGGACAAGGTCGATCACAATCTTTACATAGTGCTAAGAACTCTGATAAGACATCTGATTCTGGATCATTTTCAAGCATTGACCTGGAAGACAGACCACATCCTCTGGCTTTTGGTAATTTTTACTTTAATTTAGCGTTAATTTTGATATATTATATCTTTTTTTAAATAATAAAGTACTTAATTAGTTTTATTGTCGGCAGTTTTAATTTAATAGTATTTATGATTATTCAAACTATTGATTTTTCAACTAAAGAAATGACTATTAGCAATGATCCTAGTGTTAGGTAATATAATTTCAAAACCACTGTTCTAATCTTTAAAAAAACATGCTATATATTGTGGCTTTTTCTTTTTCTACTGAAATATTTGTTACTGTATATTCTGGTGTATAAGTCAACCCCTTATTTTTGATTTGAAAATTGGAAATTTCTGTATGTTGAGTGTATGAGCTTAACCGTTTAAAATAACCAAATATAAATGTTTCTTAAAATTTAAAAAAAAAATGAAGCATACAAATTTTCTTCACATGAAAAATATTTCATATTGTTCTCTTTGGATATGATACATTTGCCCGCAAATATAGATACTATGAAGTAACGAATAATTGACCACTATTCGATGTTCTGCCCTCTTGCCAAATATATGACCGAATACTTCGCTAAATATTCAGCAAAGTATTTTTGGGAAATGTATTTTTCTACTAAGTTTTTATGTGGGAATTTGAGTAGATTTACTGAAGAATAATCTAAACTCATATTTTTTACTATGCATGATTATAAATACTTTTTACATATATTTGTTAAGTTCTAAAACTTGTTAATTTATGTTCTGAAAGACAATTGGGAAAGCAAAACTTAAAGAATTGAAACTAGATTACTTAATAGTGTAAGTTTTGTTCTGTTGATTTTTTTTAAATAATTGATAACTTTTTTTTTGTTTGGTTCATTTTTCTGTTTCAATTACAGCACAGCATTTTAACAGAGCCTTTCTTATAGACTTAATTCTTTTGCTATCACTTTTCCCTGCATGGTTAGATAGCTGGTATCCTAGGAAAGTGTGATTCTGAATGTTAAAGTTACAACTCAGAACTAAGAACAATTTTTTTTTTTTTTTTCTATTTCTCTTTTGCTTTTTTTATCAGCACTTTTATTATGGCAGCTTTTTTTAAAAAGTTCTAATGAACATTGTTCTTTTATGATCACTTACTGAGCTTTTTAATGTTTAGAATTTTTTGTTTGAGAATTAAGAAGGATTTTTGTTATAGTTTCTATCTAGCTTTTCCTTTTTTAAAAACTTTTGTTTTTAGAAATGTTTTCATTATGAAACGGCAATTAAGAAGGTTTCTATTAAATTTTATACTCCACTTTTTCTTCAAAATATGGTGATTGGAAAACTGAGATGTTTAGCTTTAAGAATTTATTTCAAAAATTAAGATTGTTTTTATTTTGTCTATTTTGATTTTGTATGTAATCCTTTTTTTTTTTTTTTATGGAATTTTTATGATACTACTGCATTTTTAAAAGTGTTTCTGGTAGACTATATCTTTTTTAACTTTTTATGGAGATTTTTTTTAGAAAATATTGTATTTAGCAATTAAAGCTTCGTTTTAAGAACTAAGAGGAGATTTTATTTCCCTTTTGTCTTTATTTCAACTTTACAACCTTTTTTTCTTAATAGCAGTTTCTTTTTTATTTTATTTCTCATAATATTTCTAATTATCTTAAATATTTCTATTATAGTTTTCTTTTCCTTTACCTCATATCATATCGAGATATTGCTAACTTTGGATTAATTTTCAATAATGACTAAACTTATTTATGTATTAAAAATAATGTTTATTAGTAGTTTTATTAAAAAAAAATGTACTATTCTGCCGATTTTTTTTGGCTGCATATACAGTATTCGACCAAATCACTATTTATTATATCTCTGCTATGAAAAACCCCTTTAAATTAAGATGTATTAACATGTAGAAAATCCGAATTCTGCTGCCGGGAGTGAAGGCAATTTTTTGTGGGACTCAGCAGATAATGATGAAGTAGAATCCTTTGCAAAGTGGGATCTGTATGATGACACTGCTATTGTTATTGAATCCGACACAGATAATGTTCTTGGATTTTTAAATTTGTAACTTTATAGAATATTTTATGACAGTTTTCATTGTGTTATATTTTTTTAAATGCTCTAGAATAAATTTTCTAGATTTTTTTTATTCTTAATTTTTTTTCTGGATGTAATTTAAGGGATTGTTTTAAAAAAGAACCCTCTATGTAGAGAAAATATGATGAGAGAAAATGCAAAATTAACTACGTGTAAGATATTAAAATTTAAAATAGTTCTAGAAAATGGTAAATTGATATAGAGTAATTCATGTCAATTTCATTGTTTATAAATGCCGATAATTTACAATTAATGGATGTCTGACTTTATTATCGGTGTAAAAGTCTACTTTTTTGCTTGTATATATGGTAATATTTTCTTTTTAGTTCTAGCTATGTTTAAGATTTTTATGATAAGCTTACCTTTTAACTAATAACTCCCATGTTCCATTTATTATATCACTAATATAAATTTCTTTATTATTTTCCCTTGTATTTTCCTATCTTTATTTCTTACCATAATAGTGAACCTGTGCACTAATTTTTCCTTTGAATCTAAGGAAATTAAATAATAGTTTCAATTATCTAATATCTGGAATTTTAGACATTTAAATTTAGAAAGGGAAGAAAGAACCTACTGTTTTTATTGAAGTTTAAAGAAAAATAATAATTTACATATCTTACTGTTGAATTGTAAAATATCCATATGTGTAATTGCTTTTTATATTGATTTAATCAATTTATTTTTAAGCTGAGGCCACTTATGAAGATTCTTTGCCTATGAAAACTAAATCCAGACTTTCTAAGGATTTGGAAGAAGTCCTAAATGATAATGCTGCTCTTGCCTATTTTATTCAATTTATGGATGCAAAGGCAGCAAAACATTTAATCAAGTTTTGGCTTGAAGCAGAAAGTTTTAAAGTATCTCTGGAGACCAAGAGAAAGACTCTTAAACAGCCAGTTCCTCAAATACCCTGTGATCCCAATGTTTGTGCTGCAAATTCATCTGGCAGTGGAAGTAGTGGCTATACATCAGACAAATCTGAAGAAGTCTTCCACTTGTCTAGTCAAACGAAAAACTCCCTAACTTCAACTTACCATAAGCAAAATGGTTTAAGTATAGGTGCAAATTCTGGTGATGCTAATGTAAATAAAAATGTTTCTCTCGGTGTCAGAGAAAATGTATGTGATAACTCAATCAAATATAAGTCAGTGACGCAGCATCTTTCAGTTGATTCCGGTTGTGAAGTTAAATGCAAGGAGCATTTTTCCAGCTCTGAAATTTCTTGTGTAGACTTTATTGATGACAATAAACCTGATGTAAATAATATTGAAACATTGTGTGAGTCTTGTGTGCAAGAAACAGATGTGATGAATAAAGAACAAAGTTCTGATGTCTTAAAAGAAGGTCTTGTGAAATTAGAAACTAGTAAGCAATTTTATTTTTCTCTTTTAACACTGTGATGTAATAGCTCTAAATATTTTTATGTACATTATTATTATTAATGTTGCTATTTCTTAGATATCAAATTTTAAGAATCTTGCAAACTTACTGTTTTAAATACAGTCGAAACTCGATCAGTCATTCCTACCTTTTACAGTTTTCTGTATGTATCATCTTGTTTTAATTTTCCTGTCACTAATGCTGCCCTTATGATAATAACGGTTTTTTAAAAAAAAAAAAATTAAGCAATCAGAATCCTGTTTTAATTGTTCAAAAAGTTTGCTGACACTTGAAACAAAATTCGCATAATTTAATTTTGGAAAGAAACAGTATAACTGCCACCTTAAATGAGTTTACCAGGGTGTGTATCATTTTTAAAAGGTGCTTATTTTTTATTTACGTTTTTTAAAAGCCCTTAAAGGTGCTTTTTTTATTCGGGGTTTGTAAATCGTATTTAATTTTCTATCGTTTAAAAAAAACTTTTTTCTTTACCTTGTCGATTATCGCTCTAAATTACAAAAAATACATGATTTTCACAATTTTCTGTGCAATATTTATCAGAAATTAGTTATTTTATTGTGATTATGTAAAGTTTTTAAAAATATTCTTTGAATTTGATTGATTTTATGTTTATGAATTAAGAACTTTAAAAGATATTTTTTGAGTGCTTAAAGAGTACTTAAAAGGTGCTTATTTTTTGTTGAAAAATCTGGCTACATACCCTGGTTTACACATTTAGATGAGATTGATACAGTTGCAATGATAATAAAATCAGTGTTTTCTTTACAGAAAAAAAAATGGGAGAGAATTTCTCACCCTTTCTCAAAAACATGGTGAGATTTCAAAAAGTTAAGTGAGATTTCTAAAAATTAAAAAAACACGAATAGACTTGGAAAAATATATTTCTTTAATTATAATTAGGACTGGGCGATATTAGAAATTAGATATCGTGATATATCGTCAGTTTTGCATCGCGATATAGCGATGTATCGCGATATAGTATTTTTGAATTTCATTTACTTTAAGGCACAGAAAGTCAGATTTCTATCAAGACTTCATACGCATATTAATTTAAATCAATTTATAAATTTGAAAATATATATGTTTTGCTAAAGAAAGATATTAAATAAATTGACTAAGATGTACAAATCTTACTTAAAATATTTATTGAAAAAATGTGTGTAGATACAGAATGAAATATTTGCACTTCTTTATCGTTTATAAGGTATAAGCAGTCTTAATTTAA